CACCATTCTCAGATGTCCCCCCAAAACCCCAAAACCCCTAGAGGATATTATAGTTTGCTTAAAAATATCTAATGATATTATTAATACATATATAAACATAAATATATAGATCGGTTGTAACAGTTGAGGGTTCATAAGTTTATTCTTACTATTCTTCATTCTTTCGAATAATAGGTATTTGAAAGGCTGCTAGTTTCCACAGTCTTGCTATTTATTTGAGGCAATTTGTTTGAATTAGTTTTTCTATGCTGATAGAAGGTCTGATTATTAGTATTTTAATAGAAATTTGTTGGTACCTTTTGTGGACTGTGCACTATTTTATCTTCAGGTAGGGAATTCTACAAACTAGATACATTCTGTTAATTACTTTATTGAGTTTACTTTTCTCGTGAAGGGGGTGATTGATTTTTCACTCTGTTTACTCTCGGACTCTTGTTCATTAAATTAGATTGAGGTTCAGTGCTGTTGAAGTTAGTAGCTCCTGAATTCTTTCTTGGCTGTGGTATTACTTAGGGACTTTTACCTCTGTCAGGACTAGCTGCAATATTTTAGATATTATCAACAGTATCATTATTCTTTGCGGCTTCTTTATAAGTCTGACCATTATTAGCATTTGTAAAGGCTCCGTTGTAATTAGTAGATCTAGATCTTTTGTTTACAATAGATGTTATTTAGGTCATTATTTATTATTACTATTGAGGAGGCTACGAACTGTTTTAGGCTTGCAAGAATGGATTCACACTTATTGATTACTAATTGGATTTATGGTTAGTAGGACTTGAAATTCTCGGACTTGGACTTAGATTAGCTTGGTTTTATCTTTGCTTTGCTTGTTCTTCTTGTTAGATTTGCTATTATACAATCTGATTTTCATTGAGTCTCACTTTCTTTAACAAGTCTTGAAGCTGGCCAACTCTATCCTTATCGTTTGCATAGAGTCTATCCCTCTTAAACTGCCTCATCTTCTGTAAAGTCATTACTTTAGCTTCTTCCATTTACTCTGGATTCAAAACGTATATTTGATTTTGTTGCATCTAGTTGTTATTCATCATGTTTTAATTTTGCTATGGTTGAGGATTAGATTGATAGTTTTATTAAAGTCCTTGAGGTGGTTATGTTGGTTTCAACTTTGTTGGACTCATCCTTTGTTATCCAGAAATATCTTACTGCCCTTGATTCTACTGTGATGATAAATCTTGCTAGTCTTAACCGTCTGGCTTGTTTGTACTGTTCTATTGCTGAGCGTACTTATACTTGACAGAGTTGATCGAATTCCTTTCGAGCTTCTTCCTCATTTTCTCAGTTTCCTTATCCCAATCTGTTTAAGCATCTAACAAGTTATTAGCAACAACCTTGTTCTTTTACTAAATGATGACCTGCATATCATAAAGTGCATCATCAAAGTCCTCATTAATTTATCCTAGAACTTCAGCTTCTTCTTCTGGAGTCTTTTCCTCTTCAACTAAAATCTCAAAATCCTCTATTTTAGATTCCTTTTTAATGTATTCCTCTACACCCTGTTTGAGGCTAATTTTATAGTGAAGACTTGATGGTTTGATAACTTATGTCTATTATGAATTTTATGGCTAGTTACCTTCGGCAATTATAATTTTATAGGTTGCAGGAGACCTTTTACTAGGTGATTGATTCTATGATTCATTTAATAATGGATCTAAGCCTTTTATCTATATCTCCTCAATTAAGAATTCAGGTGGATTCTCAAGGATGATTAGCTGATGAGATATTAGTCTGTCTAGTATTTACTTTTCTTTCTCTAAGGAGGAATTAAAGAGAATATATGGTTCATGCATTTACATTTTACATCCATTAAGACCTCTTCCTTCAATATCCAGTAACTAGTAAATATCATAGAATTATCCACAGCATTCATACTTATATACAGAGCCTCCAGGAGTATTGTATTAGGACTATATCCTCATTTGTTTCTCATGATATCGGCAGTTACCCATTTCAGCTATTACAAAGAATCCCTGACATCTATTGCACTTGAATGTATTTAGATATGACCAAACCTTCCAGTATATTTCTTTCCAAGATATTCTATAAGTTTCTCTAACATAAGTAATGAATTTCTTTAAATCCCAATCCTTGTCAATTACATGCTTAGCTCTTTACTATCCATTTTCATCAATGTAAACTTTACCTTTTGGACAGCTCAAAATTTCTCTCTAGTCCTTTGTGAAAAGTCTCAGGCAATATGCACATTTGTGAAGATAATTTTTGTCTTTCTCTAGAAGTAGCTCTAATTTTTTCATAAATAGTCTACTTACAAGTTTATCCTTTCTCTCCTTCAAGGTATCAAGCCTATCAAGTTTGATATTCTTAGCCATCTCTCTAATAATAACTGAATTTATGCAACTCATATCGACTTGAATCTTGGAGATATCCTCGATGTTGGCTACAAAATATTCCATGCAATGCTTGACTAGTCTGTCAATCTTTAGAAAATCTGCAGATATAAGTATAGACACCACATTTTTCTAATCTAGTTTCGGTCCTCTGTACTATGTAACACTTGAGAAAGTCTACAAAGAATTATGCACGTCTTCATCACACTTTTGCACCCTTAATTGCCATCCATTAGTTGATTGAAGTGTTACATTAGTCGACTACGAAGATTTCTCCATTTCCTCCTAGTTGAATATATAATTCAGAAGCCATTCAAATATCCCAGCATCACAATGAATGGAGATGTCAATCTCATCATTTTCAGATATCTTTTTAAGACATTTTTCAAAATACTTCATATATTTCACAAGCAATGATCTTGAAAAAGTAAAATCTTTTTTCTGATTCTTACTGTCGTCAATGACATGAATCATAATTTTGTCTTTGAAATTTATTTGACTAAGATTCTGAAGGAATCCTCCTGAGTATGATGCTGTATCAGGCAAATTGATTTTAGAATTGGGAGAATTTTCTGTTGGTAGGGTGTCATTTTTATAATTGCCTACACTCTTCGGAGTTGGATTGTCGCCATCCTTTTAGTAATCACTCTATGCTGTAGTTTTATTAGAAAAGGGAGTTACATTTTAGTTCAGTCTTTATTAAGTATCAGTCTTTATAGGTGATTAAGATGACTCGTCCTGTTTACTAAATTTACCCAAGCTGTTAGGTCTAATTTGTTAAATTGAATTTTATTACATTGAATCCTTGGCTTAAATTGGCTGCTTTATATCTAGCTTCTTAGCAATTAGATTGCTTTAATTAACAAGCTGGATATTAGTTTTATCAATAGAGTTTCTGTCTCCGGATGTTACACCAGTTGATTAATACTACTTTATTCCGAAATTTGTCTATGTTAAATTTGCCTGGTTGATAATACTAGATGGCTGAGAATTTTAAGAATTTCCAATCATCAATTAGGATATCGGATTAGATCCAAATAGATTATTATGAATTATCTTGTCGTTTAGAGATTATAGCGCAGATGCATTTTTGAATCCTTAATTGCCATCTGCTGATTATCTTTTATTTCCATATTAATTCTGAATTTAAGGCTAGACTAGTGATGGATTTTTCTACTACCCATAAAATGTAGTATTATGACTAATATTTACACCGTTACCAGGGACCAAGAATTGAGGATTTAGCATTTGATTATTCATAACACTGCCGTTTCCATTCACCAACAAATTGTTTTGAAGAATATTTTAGACATTTGTTGGTGGATTTCCAAAGCTTCATGATTTTTTAGGTAAACTCTTGACTCTAAACGGCAATTGCCCATTCACTTCTAAATTTAAGATTCATATTATATCAATCATCAAAAACTTACACTAGCTATTCAGAGTGACATTTCTATGATCAGTTGTTTGGGGTAAAGAAGAAATCTGGCTATTGTTGTTGCTCAACACCAAGCCATAGTTCTTTTGCTACTCTATGAATGATTGATGCTGCAAAATCTTTTAGCTATTTGTTACATCCAGAGTGGGTTCAGTTCCTGTTGTATATGCTAACGTAAAATTTCCATTCATCAGTTCAAGATTATTGCTACTCATAATTTTCGAACTGGGGTGAAGATTTTGTCCATTTACGATTTTTAGAAGCGGGCTTTCATTATCACGATTAAATTTTGAGTCAGAATCAGAGATCTCGTGCTGGGATATCTTATTTTGACTCATTGCAAAATACTGTGAATTTAGAGCTTCATCACTCTATGTCTTTAGCTTTACTAATGCCTATTAAAGATTGTGTAAATAAAAATTATCATGACATACCCCAAGTGGAATTCTCTGAGTTTAATTAAATTGAATAGATCCGTCTGTCGACTGGAGATTGAATGAATTCACATCTCTGATACTACTCCCAGTCTTAGCTCCAGAGGATTTAATTAAGTATCTCTCGTGGATAGGTGGTGTTTCTACAGAGACATTCAAAATAATAAGTTTTTACAATACTAAGAAATATTGCTACTCTTCGACTAGTCAAACACTTCGATCTAATTGCTAAGCGATTCTTGGTAGCTTTTAGGCTGATATTGTAGATGATTAGACATCATTCCATCCTCTGTGAATATTGCATTCTGCAAAGGACTTTTATATTGATAATTAGGCTAGATCAATTATTGATCTTTGATCATGCTCATTATTTATATTTTTATTATCTAAATAATTTTATCAAGCTGCCTCTCTACTCATCTTTGCGGGGTTTTGGGGTTTTGGGGTTTTGGGGTTTTGGGG